ATCTTGCAACAGTGTTTTGTATCTAATATTATATACAAAACACTGTTGCAAGATACCCATTTTGGGGTTTAAGAGTCTTGCAATAATGTTTTTTTTTTTGTTAAAAGGCTTTCAATTAAAATGCATAAAAGGAAATACAAGGATATGATGTTGAGATCATATAGTTTTTGAAAGTTAAGAGATAGGAGATCATGCAAAAAAGCAGATTCTAATAAGGGAAAAAGATAGAACTAGTAAAACATTAATTCTCTAGTTATTTATTATTTTATTTTTTTTTGGAACGATTAGCCTCGACCACCGCGGCCACCACGACCACGTTTGCTCCGTCCTCCTACCGTAATCCATTGATCTTGGATTTTCTGTGTAGGTTTTATTGTCCTCCCTCCTCGGGTACGTTGAGAGGATTCAACACCCATCTCATAACCATAAACTCCAACATCGAAGACAGCAAATTGATTACTTTCTAAGACATTTTCCTGCACATTCTCATTATCCAATGAACCTGAACGAGGGGGAGTAAATGGGACAGTTACCATTGGAGAAGAAGGCAATATTACTTCAGTATTTATGGGAGTGTGGTTGCATAAGGCAGTTGTGAAGGTAGTCGCTTCAGTTGTAGTAGTAGTATGCCCAGCCACAACGGTTGGTGAGTGTATGTAGGTTGTAGTCTCCACTGGTGCAGCTTCAACTGAGAGAGGAGGAGAGACATAAGTGCAGGCTGAAACAGAACCAGTGTTTACCACTGCAGCATCTAGAGATGCACAATCAACAAGAGTTTCTTGTGCAACAATGGGAGTCGTAACATGTGAGGTTTTGGCTGCTTCAACATGGGTTGTTTGGGAGCTTGTATTACCCTCAACAACAACTGGGATTGCAGGAACTGTGGACACTAAGTTAGATGCAGTACCTTGTTGACTAAGGAGAAGGCATCTAGTTTCCTTGTGGCCTAAAAACCCACATCTACTACACTTCGATGGAAGCCAAGAATACTCCACATCCACCATAGTGGCATTGCCTCTTTTGTCCTCGACTGCAATTCTATGTGGAAATCCTTTTTCTAGCTCAACTTCAACCATGATTTTAGCCACTCCCATTAGGAATGGGTCCAACCTCGGTTTATCTGTAGTGATAGGTTCACCTAAACCCGAAGCTATCCAACTGATTCCCCAATGTGAGTAAAGACGACTAGGGATGTTTTTTAGCGTAACCCAGACTGGGACTGAAGTGATCTCTGGTAATGCTAAGGTAGCATCAGTAGTCCAAGGAGCAACAAACATGATGCAATCATCAATATGCCATAAACCTCTCTGTAAAACCCGGGCTCTAGTTGGTGCATCCGGAATATGAAACATATAAGAGGATTCCCCAAGTTTTCGTGAGAAAATCTTACATTTTTTCCCCCAAATTCTATTAGCCACTGCATTGATGAGACCTCCAGATGGTTTGAGGCAACGATTAAACTGACCGATCACATATTCTTGTTGGTTCTCGAGTCCTTTTAACAAGACATGGTTTGGAATGTGTACCTTGGGAGTACCATCTTCCATGTAAGTTGGTGTTGTTGTTCGATGGAGATTACGGATGGAAGGGTCCATCTTTGCAGCCCATGGAAAGCGTAGTTGTCCATCCTCTTTAATCGCAGGGGGAAGGATGTCTAAATCTGGATTTGATTTGCCTCTTTCCTTTGGAATTAGAGTTTCGTGGCGGTAAGGTACAGCTTCCGGGATGATCTTAGGCGGTTTTACCCATGCTCCAATAGTAGGAACAAATGGAGTAGAGACAGGTGCTGTCGAAGACGGAGAAGAGAGATGCGAGGTTTGTGTCACATCTTCTGTCGCGAGAGGAGAGTTCATAGCGTCGGAGCTCATTCGAGAATCCGTGGCAACAGAATCCATCAAAGCAAGGAATAGAGACTAGATGGCTCACCGAAGAAGAGATTACCGGAGTCAGTCAGTGACGACTGCACTACGGCGGTGTAGCCGTCAAGTGAAACGTGATTTTCTTAGGTTTTCGCCTTCGAGAGAAAATATTTGGGGGCGCGTAGGCGCGTATTGTCTATCTTGCAATAATGTTGCTCTAAGGTTGTGATTAAAGAGGTGTTAATAACTCGTTTTTATGAGTTAGCTATCATTTCTCGCATTTCACCCTCGCCACCATTATAAATTTACATGGCCTGAAACCCACGACACACTTATAGTTTTCGAGGGCTGATCTTAGACTAAAAAGGCCCATACATTAATAAAGCATATCTTGAGCCCATAAAATGTTCTTCATAAAACTTACACAATGTCAAAAACAATGTTATAATTCAAATATATACCACTAATAACATTTTTTATAACAAATAATAACATTGTTTAATTTAATATGTTAGCTTGATCGATTATGTAAATGTAAGAGTTTCAAAAAATTTAGCTAACAAGATTATAGCAAAAGAAATAGTAATGGATACATCATACTTCGTAAGTTGATTTTGCGTCATGCACATGTAATGTGATCGTCTCTCTTTTTCTCGATTCACCACGTACGTACTTAATATATGATTTTATGAATGAATTATAAATTAAAAGAAATTAGGGGTCCTCAGTTTGGACCTTAAGAGTGATTAGTTAGGTAGTCATGACTCACGAAAAAAGTCATCACTATTAAGCAAATCTTCTACCAACCAACTCCTACAATTTTCAAATTATTTGTTTCTCTATCTTCCAAGATTAGGTGCCCGCATTGGTGTTGCTTTATAACTATTCCATCATTGTGTTTTCAAGTCATAGAATACATCTTCATGTGATGATGATCAGGTAAATTTAATCAACTGTATGTGTTTGTTCGATCATATATATATAATTAAATAAGAAAGACAGGACTCAGTATCCAATCACAAAATTCCATAATTTATTAAGAGATTCTGAATTAATCACTTGCCAAGGTGTATAAAGTATTATCATTACATATTTGTTGTTGAGATGTAAGATGTCGTTTCTTAACTCAGAAATTCGAAAACATGAAAATGCACATCCATTACAATCAACTACATATTTGTGTAACTTGTGATTATTTTTAAATAATTATAAAATTGAACGCGACGTGCCAGAAAATTATATATCAAACAATGCGTGCATGCATAATTCTTTGCGTATTATATATAATTAAAAATTCACATAGTTTACAATTTAACTAGTTTGTAGTTGGTTAATGATGTGAGCACAGTTTAACTTGTTCTATTAGACCATTGTTAAAAACAAAAGTCAGTAATTAGGATTGTGACGTTGAATGACTTGGACCACTTGGGATAGTAGTAGTGATATATTGATGCGTTTCTGATTTTTCTATGGCACATAAGGCTAAGAAAATATTAATCTATCTATCTTGTTTTCGCCACCGAAGAAATAAAAAGAACAACCTATTTTGTTTGTCAAACAATATCTTGTTTAACTACCACCGACGACGATGTAACATTAGTGTCTCACTAAACTAATACACCCTCTTTACATTATACACACACCAAAAAAACATTAATTAGTGCATGCCTCGCCCTTGCCAAACAAATACGTACTAGTGTACACTACATATATACACTGTCACCGCAAACTAATACATCCTCTATATGTATTACTTTTTAGATTATCAACTGTAGTATTCACTATATATGTTGTAATCAACAAAAAAGAAAAAAGAAAAAAGAGAGCCTTTAGGGTTGGTGCATGCGTGCATTCAATATATCCCCAAGGAAACAGCAGTGTGAATGTGATCATCAAACAACTATTGAAAATTGTATTAATAGTTGAGCTATGAAAATTTAACTACCCAATTCTTTAGATGATCCAACGCTGATGATCACCACTAGTACGTCCTATACTCTCAGTTAACATAGAATTAACTGGTGTACCACATTCTCTCTTTTTTTTTTTACAATTAGCTTTTTCTGCGGTAACTTGCAGCTACAATAAGATACATATAGAAACCATTTTTCTTGCTGTAAAAAAACATTGAAAATTAATTGTTGCTATTTAGCGGTACAAAGCGAATTATGATTAAGTATTCACATTTCACATCTTAGTTAATTAACAAATTGTAAACGTAGTACTATACGATTCATGTCATTTGTAGTTAGAGGGTATATTTTATTTCTTACGAAAACGGGCGGCCGAACAAAATCGAAGACTGGAAAAAAGTGGCATGCCAATAGCAACACGTGTGCTTTCGTCATGCAAATTCTCGTCTTTTTCATTTTTCTAAGAAATCTCTTTTTCTTTTTCGTCCTCGATCGATTGGGATATTTCAACCTTTTCTTCTATTTTCTTTCAACCTCGTTTACTAAATTATTTGTTTTTTTTCCCCCGGTGGCACCTAATTGGTTCAAGTTAAAAATAACATTTTTCGTAAGTTGTTCACCAAACAAAAGAAACCTATGATTATGATTTAAATTTGTTAGAGGTGCATGCACTATGTAGTGCTGTTTACGTAGAACTTCGTCACAAAAGACAATTTATTGGATTACAAGATCGATCCATTAATATTAATTTGAGTTTTTGGTTATTCTAATCCTAAAGACAAAACTATATAGGAAGCAAGCATGATCCATGTGAGAACAAAAAATGTTGTCCTCGTTTATGCTAATTGAGTTATACTATAATGTTGCGAAATAACATCATTGTAATTTAATTATTCAACACATAGCTTAGCTAAATGGAAGCATATGAGTTTCGTCATATCTTGTTTGGTATTGACTGTGAATATAAATCATATATACTGTTGATCAACTCCCTATCTATGGGAGGGAGATGTTAAAACAAACTGAACTCAAGTAAACGATTTGATTCGGTTATATATGTTTCCATAGATTGCTGAACGTAACTAAAATTAATTAGTATATATTGGTTGTATCTTCAGAATTTAGGTATAATTAAAGTATAAATTAGTAAAGTTTAAAAAATGGTAAAAGTTTACAGCACTATTTAACAATATAAATGTTATAGTTTTGGTTAACAAAATATGAGTAGGAAATACTTGATATTTAGTGATAAATTAGCCAAATCATGAAATATCATTTTAGCCTATAGCTAGTTTTTGTTAAATGGACGTTCTTATATATAAGAAACATAGTGGTCTGGTGGAGATAGAATGACAAAAAAATAGCAATAATATTCTAAAAAATTTCCATTCTTGCAAGCGTGACACAATTTGTATCCCTTCTTATATGTTTTCAATCTCCAATATTCTTAACATGCATACGTATCATTTATACCATTTAATGATTCGTTTCGGATATTTTGTACGTTTTTCAAACCTAAGCTATATATGTATAGCATGATTTAATAATGTGAAAGAATCATATGATGAGAGAGATATATGTAGATTGAAGAAAAAGAAAGAAAAGAAAGAGATATAACGTCCGAAATTGTTATGTGCGCATAAAGTTAAGGGAGGGAAGTAATTTGATCATTGTATTAGCCTTCCACGATTCATAAACCGTAACAGTAAGCAGCCAAACTCATTTTAAAAACATATATAAATCCTGATATGTGATGGCAGTCATAAGATATATAACATTCTTACGTCTTGTTTGGTAGATTAAATAACTTAAAGTACAAAGCAAAAACATTTATAAGTCAAGTTTTTTTTAGTTCATGAAGTTTCCGCTTATCAAGAACTAAAACTTAAGACCGTTTTTTCAAAAGTTGGTAAAATCAACAAATCTGGTTTGACTCGGAGAGACTGAATGATCCATGTATATATTCATCGATCAGTCAAAAATCTCAAAAGTTTTAACTGAGCTAATAAGTAGTATTAACTAACAAACAAGCTACGCAGCAGTAGAAACTTAGTCAAAAATAATGTTACAGAACGATATCAATCACAAGAGTCAATTTTAATTGTCAGTGTAACGTATAGTTTGATTACATTTACCAAATTAAATAAAAACTATTTATTTTTTACATATGTAAATGGGAGGTATACAATTATAAAAAAGATGGGAATTTTGCCACGTACTCATCCACAATATAGACAAGTTCTTAACTTCAGCAAATCTGATTTGACAATTGTCAATGTCTGCTGTTTATAACATGTTTCCCAATGTCAGGATCACACACCACTTCTCATGTATAAATACACATAAGACCAATTAGATCGGTAAAAAGGAATCTCATAAGTGTGTTACATATAGAAAAGAGAGAGAGAGAGAGAGAGAGAGAGAGAGAGAGAGAGAGAGAGAGAGAGAGAGAGAGAGAGAGAGAGAGAGAGAGAGAGAGAGAGAGAGAGAGAGAGAGAGAGAGAGAGAGAGAGAGAGAGAGAGAGAGAGAGAGAGAGAGAGAGAGAGAGAGAGAGAGAGAGAGAGAGAGAGAGAGAGAGA